TTTGTCAGCGCGAACTCTATTTCTAGATTTTACACAATGAGGCGTGCTCACCAACATAAGATGGGGTTTAGGCGAGATGTGCAGGTATGGAAGAAATCCTGGGTTGCACATTCTTAATCTTGGGTCTGAGATTTTTGAGTAACTATATAGAAATATGCTCCTAATTCGGAAGTATCGTGAAACATCAAGTTGTAGAATTGGTGGCTGGCTCCTACCTGACTTCGCACACAGGCGCGTAATGAGCTTATGTGATGCTTTATGTAACCAAATGGAAGCTCTCTTGCCGTCATATTCCCAGTTCAACAGAGGGCCATCTTCTGTTTAGCGAGTGTTTTCCATCACTAAAACCCCTCTCTTAGCTTACCTTTAAGCACAGCAATATCTTCCTCGTTGTGAATGGATGTGAGATGGCCAAATCGTGATTCGCAATAGGTTTCTGATCGTTCCCAGTTTCTGAAAACAAACCTTTTTCCGGGAGAAACCCTGAAAATCTCGGGCTTCATGTACGTAGAATTGGTATTGTTTAGGTGTGACCAATGAAGTTAAGCAAGACCACCCACGATAAAAAGGTGTGAAGCATCAACGAGGAAGTCATAGTATAAATTTTCAAACTCGTTGAAAATTTCAGCAGTCGCAGGACAACCAGCGATTTCTAAAAGGAATTTCAAACAAGCGTACGTCCAACTAACCTTTCATCGGGACCCTTGTAAACGCAGTGACCGCGGCTGTTGATTCGATTGCAAGTGATGCCAGAAACGACAGAGATCATAAAGTAGCAAAGAAGTAGCAGCAGAAGTCGTCGCATCGTGGAGGACGGAATGGGAAGGTGACCCATGGATTCCTAATTACATATTGGTATCAAAAAGTATAACAAAAGTTCAGTTATCTTTACCAATATAAGTTTTGCGTGGAAAACGACCTACTATCAAACGTCAAGTATTTTTGAAAACTACCCAGTACCCTAGCAGAGCTGTGCCAGAGAGAAATATGCAATTAATGGTGTTCAACCGGATGCAGATCCTAGCATTTATAGCATTTAAATACCCCTCAATGTTTACTTTATCTGCAGTGACGATTACAGGATGATGCTGTATGGAAGGATCCCCTTCTCTTTGCGTATGTACATTATGTAAAACTAGCATTCAGATGGTAACCTGCANGTTCAACCGGATGCAGATCCTAGCATTTATAGCATTTAAATACCCCTCAATGTTTACTTTATCTGCAGTGACAGGATGGTGCTGTATGGAAGGATCCCCTTCTCTTTTCGTATGTACATTATGTAAAACTAGCATTCAGATGGTAACCTGCAGATCAATCCCGTCTGAGATATGCGCCTTCGCATTCGACTTCCATTCAGAGTAGTAGTGGCCTATACAGTGACTTGCGGAGTATAGCTGATGGACAAATCGATGCTTTTATCCTCCCAGAAGTCTGGTACCAATAAACCGACCTCAGAAGGATAGAAGGCCTGGTTGGCGTGACAATGCGTTTGAGATAGTGCCCCACCCTCTGCACCCCCGTTATTTTTCATTTTCACGTTATTACCTATTTACAATTACCAAATCTTCGCAATTCCATGGGTCATTAGATGCCAAACACGGAATCAAAATGAAGGGGCAAGAGTCAGAACATTTTGTTCAGGTCAC